ACACTGCAGTATCCATTAACCTAACCTGGGTTAAGATATATTAGATTAAGTTATGTTAATAGACGCTACAGTGTAAATATCCCGGAAGACCACAACCAGCTCAGTAGACCGCATAGTATAGTAGCTTCCTCCCTACACAGCTGCACGGATCACCTGAATATTTGCCCCCACCACCAGGTTAAGTTAATTTAGATTAAGTTAGATTAGGTTACAGTAGGTTAAGTTAGCATTGCGGTATTAAATCATCAGGTGAAATAAGCTGGGGTACCTAATCATAAAGTGAAATAAGCTGAGTTGTCTAATCATCAGATGAAATAAGCTGGATTGTCTAATTAGCAGGTGAAATTGGCCGGGGTGTCTAATCATCAGGTGAAATAAGCGGGGTTCCTAATCTCCGTGTGACCTCTTTGAACTAACAATAAAACACCTCAGTCAACCCCGTTTAACTGATTCCTTTCAACTATTTCGTGGAAGGTGGCAATTACTGGCGCAAGACAGCCACCAGGACACCGGGCCAATTGTCAGGGAGGAGAAAAACGGGGGAGGAGGAGGAGAAGGGGATTAGGAAGAGAAGGAGATGAGAGGGGATGAGGAGGAGAAAGGGGAAGGTAAGGAAGCGGAGAATATAAAGAAAGGGGAGGGGAGGAGGAAGGTGTGGATATTGAGTGGAGGAGAGGAGGGCCCAGGAAGACACAGGGAGAGAGTTGGAGCCTCACGCCCCACTGGTCATCAACCTCCACGTGACCCCCAGCACGCGAGGCCTCCTGACCTGGGTCATTTTAACACGTCCTGGTGACCTTGGTATGTGTGTGTTGACCCAGGGCACTCCAACAAATCTCGGTGAAGTATGTATGTATGTATGCTTATGTGTACATGTATGTATGTTTGTGTAAGTGTTTGTTTATATGTAAGTGTGTGTATATGTACATGCCTGCGTGTTTGTGTCTGTGTGCGTGCGCGCTATCAGACCAGCACCAAAGCGTAAGAATGAATTACGACCTGTGTGTGAGTACCCGGGGGTGTAATACCTGTCGTAGCGACGAAGCAATAATATTATTCACACATTATTTCACACGAGGGACGCATTAGTGTGTGGCGGTGCAATAAGACCTTCAGGAGGTAGTTACACGTGGACCTCAGCTTTGTCTCCTCAACGACACACACACAGCTGCTTTATGTACCCCCCTCCCTCACATATTACCTTTGTGCATGTGTGCCTGTGTGTGCCAGCCATGCCCACCCACCAAACCATTCCTATGTTCGTGATGGGGAAAATCGTTACCCAGAAATAACGCCGCCGCCGCCGCCACACACACAGTGTTATCAAGCCGCCATATAATATATATTGTTGTGGTCCTGGCCATATATTACGCTATATTACTACACACCTGCTGTCATTAGTCTAGTCAGGCATACAGATATTACACAGATATACACACACAATCACATATGTACAGACATATATACACACGAATCAGGTATACACAGAAGTATGCACACACGAATCGAATCAGGTATACAGATATACACAAACAAATTATATACACGTGTGAGAATGAAGAAATACAAATACTGAAGGAATATTTATTAAAGACCACAAGACCGGCCATAACCAAACAGTTGTGTCTAAGTTAACGATTAATTATTTAACGTCAGCAACATCGATAATGGGCAACAGTAAAATGAATTGAACCCCCCCCTATGATGACCCCCATTCCTCCCCATGACAGCCCTCTCTTCTATTCACCTCACAATAACTTCTCTCCACGACAGCCCTTTCCCCAATCACCCACACGACAAATCTATCCCCATTCGTTATGTCTATCCTTTCCATTTCCTCCACCGACAACTCACCCCCCCACACACACACGAGTATAGCAGCTGCCAGTAACACGACCAGGGGGATGTAAGGGGGGAGGATCATTAAGCGAAAGGGGGTGAGGGGAATGATCGTTAAGGGAGGTGGCCAGGGAGAAGGGGGTGATGGGGGGGAAACTTAATTACCGGTGCGGTCGTGCATGAGATTCACCCCCACCGCTAGGACACTTTTTTGTAGAGAAAGAAGATTAGTGGTGGAGGAAGTAAGTTGTAGTTCGGACTTTGAAGAAATTTTGGAGGTAGGAGAGGGCGCGCTGACCGCCTTACTACGGGTTAGCTAAACTATTAGTGTGTTAAGGTTACAACACGGGTTAGTTATTGTCTGTCGGTGCATGAACTAGACAGGCAGATAGTAGGTAGTAAGCAGCTATCAAACAGGGAGGTACTACCGTCTGGGAAGATATTGGAAGCATAATGTGTTGTCTAATGGTAGACCCTGTTGCCATATGACACCACAAAAATTGTGACCAAGTCCCAGGTTGGTGATCTGACTTTCTGCCTCATTTACACACAATTGCAGGATCTCAATTGCTTCTCTTACTATTGACAACACATCATACATACTGTATATTGTTTCTCACTTTTGATCTTTTTTCTTCATTTTTGTATACCTTGTGGTTCTTTATTATTATTATTACAGTGTTGTTCTTGTTATTGTAGTTATCATAATTATTTTATTATTTTTAATTATAAAATTTATTTATTATGAGTAATTATTATTACTACCTTCCCCCCCCCCCCCAGGCCCCGATGTGCACGGGTGGGGATAATCCCTGTAAAAAAAAAGGTGTTTTGAGGGCCTTATTTCGTATTCCGCCGACCCTACTGGCGGATGCTGGTCTAGGGAAGTTGTTCATTGCCTGGCCGTATAGATCAGAGGTGGAAATGGATCTTTTGAGATTTGGTAACTTTTTGGGAACCATGTATGGTTGTTGTCGTTGTCTGGTGGGAGTCTTTGGAGGAGTTTTTGCTCTGATCGTTCTATCTTTTGTCAGACTGCTGGCCAGGGTGTGCAGCTGCTAGTTGATGGGTTTTATTCTCAGGTCTCTATATATCTCGGCTGTGGTTCTGGTCAAGGGTGTATCTTTGCACCTGTGACGAATCTCAGGGCTTCATTTTGGACCACCTGTAATTTTAATAATTGGGTGGTGCTCAGAGTATGAAGAGGTACTGCTGGGTAAGTTAGTATCGGTATGATAAGTGATGTAACCGGGTGGAGTTTTGTATTCTCAGGAAGCGCGTTAAAGCGGTATCGTTTTTTCAGCTCTCTTCTTGCCCTTTCCTTCCTGGTGTGGACATGATGGGAGTAACCTGTCGTGGATATATTCAGGCCCAGGAGGGTGCCTCTGCTTTTGTATTCTATCTGGGCATTATTGGTTACTAATGGATGGTCTTTCCTTCCGCATAAGGGTATCACTGTGAATTTCGGGAGACTGGTTTGGATTTTTCATTGTTTTAGGACACCCACCACCCTACCCACCCACCGCTAGGACACCCACTACCCACCTGACTCACCGCTGCCGTGGGAATGTGAACTCTCTAGGACTACTGTAAGTCATCATTATCACGCGTCAGACTCGCAGGGGATCGTAAGGTGAATATCTATCGAAAGACAAAGCGAATCACTTGAAGATTATCTCACATCGCTTACTTAGCCTCATCTAACGCTAACAAAACCTAACCTGAACATTAACCCCCCCGCCTTATTTTACCTTAAAATTAACCCCCCTTACGCTAACCTAATGTAATCTAACAACCAAACGCCAATCTAACCAAACCAAACGCTAAGTTAACCCCCCAAGCAAAGTCTCAATAAATTAGACTTTGCCCCCAAGTAGGTAAAATAAGCTGGGGGTTAATCTTCAGACGACCCTAAAAACGCACTTGTTTAGATGACTTGAACTAATTCTTAATAATAAAAGCAACCATGGACAATCTTTTCAATGCAAAGAGTTATAAGGTAATATTTTAGCCCGTTGCTGATGCGAAGTAAACGTATGAAGTAAAAAAAATACAATCGCACTTTAATTTTATATTTAGTAAGGTTAGGTTATATTATGATTTAGTTAAAGTTACTCAGTTTAATTTTGTGTTAAGAAGGTAGATGTACTAATTCTCACATTTTCCTCCTTCACAAAACACCAAACTTACTTCAAGTTATAAATTCGTATCATTAATTGAAAAACAGCATTAACACCTAAAAATAATGATAAATGATTACACGCGTTTAATGAGTTCACTCGGCATTCTGTTATTGAAAAAGTTTTACTGCACTAGGCTGGCTGTCATGTAAACAATAAACTAACAACAAGAACACTAATGCTTTTTCGTTACTCTACGATACGTGTTAAATTCATACACTTGGAAGACATATACTTATACTTAAATACCATAGTACATATATTTAGAAGACATGTACTGAATATATAAACTTACTTATCATGAACAAAAAGCCTCACACACGCACGCACAAACATGAGCATGCACATTCATATTCGCATCCAACCGCGCGTGCAACAAATATATTTCTATACACACACACACATTTACACGCAGGCATACATACTCATATAAAGGAACAGATATACACAATTATAAAACATACCCCCCACACACACAAACATACCAAAACTCATGTTTCTAAATAGACCACAATACAAATTAAATATAGACAAACACTGGAAAAAGACCGCACCGGGAAACTCACATACGTACGCACGCACACAAACATACACACAAATAAGTACAATACAAGCACACGAACATGCAAAGTACACAAAGTGTAACAAACATACACATACCTACACCAGCAAGTAAACTTGCATATGCCCTGAACTCACATACAAACCAATTAACAATATATTAACTGCTGTTTATAATGAACTTCGTTGGCTAGCTAGATAGTTACATTTATATATTTCTTCCCTGTAACATACAAATTCTTTTGAAATAATATACCCAGTATTTTTTTTCAGATGAATATTAAGATACATGGAATTAGGTTTACTTTATTACCTTTGTCCTATTTATTCTTAAAGTGCATGGTAAACATTCACATTAACTTTGAATTAACACACATATCAAGTTTACAACACAACAAACATGTACAGTACTGTACTTACCATCGTCAATGCCTGTATCTTCGTGCGTTCATTCGCCTTCTATCTACCCTTTCTTATTGATCAGGCAGTAAATCCAGTTGCTTGTAGTTGGTTCACACGATGTATATAAATGTATAAGGCGACAGGAACACTACCCGCGGCGTCGTCTGGTAAACTGAGGCCTCGATTCCACGACTCAGCCATTCAAGCTTTCTGTCGTTACCCTGGCAACCAGTGAGTCGTACGTCTGGCAGGAGATAAAATGTTGTACTGCAACAAACAAACAGATACCGTAACTTTGGAAGAGAGATATCTAATTACTAAAGTTGCCATACAACTTCACATTGAATTAGAATGTATATAAACAGTGTAAGCATGTAAAATGTATTTAAATAGTGTAGATATATAAACAATTGTAAACAGTTGCTAAGGTAAGTCAACAAAGCCCTCATTTAATTGATATTTATTTATCTTAGGTATTCTCAGTAAGCTCCTTTACTTATGCTTATTCCAACAAATGATATGTGCATTATTATATAAATATTGTGGGGGCGATATTATAAATAATTCCATGATAATAATAATAATAATAATAATAATAATAATAATAGTACGGTAGTATTGGCATAGTAGTATTACATTCACTTATATTCTCTTCACCAATGACCGGCTCGTTCGCCGCTTGGGCGATTGGTCACGTCTCTGTTACACACTGTTGGCAAGTACTGGGCATGCACCGGCTCCTGAATGTACCTAAACCTGCTCTAGTGTTGGTCAAGTCTGGCCTTGAAAGAGCTCACAGTCGGTGCCGTCACAACATTTTCCGGCAGATTGTTCCAAGAGTTAACTACAGTACTCTTACTCCGAAAAAGTTTGCCCTCACAATTTTCTAGACCTGTTGCTTCTTCAATCTTGAGCTGTGACCCCTTTTGGGGCGAGCGTCCGCCAGCTCCAGGTAAGGACACTCAACTGAGTAGTGCCTCTTGAGATGCTTATACTGTACACCTCAATTAGGTCGCCCCTTGCCCGTCTGTAATATAAGCTAGGCAAGTTCAGGCGCTCCAATCTCTCAGGGTAGTTGAGGTGCCGAAGTGCAGGCACCAGTCTGGTGGCCCTCCTTTGAACATTTTCAACCAACTGACAGTCCGTAGCATATCTCGGGAACCAGACGGGATGACAGTACTCCAGATGGGGAAGCACTTCACTCCTGAAGATCGTTACGAAGGACGGACCTCCGTCCGTCTAAATATCGGACGACCTTCTTATAAGACCTAATAATTTATTTGCCTGATTTACCTTCTTCTCGCAATGGCCCGAGAACTTCAGCTCATTGTCAACATACACACCTAGGTCCTTCTCACATTCAGTCTCAAATAGTGTAGTTTCTTCATCCCGTTGGGACAGATGATACGTCCCCTTACCGTTGGTACGCCCCAGGTGCATCCTCTTACACTTCGTGACATTGAATCTCAGCAGCCATTTCTTCGACCATTCCTGGAGCTCACAGAGATCCTTCTGCAGCTCTTCACAGTCCGCTTGGTTCTTGATTTCCCGAAATAACTTGGCGTCATCATTAGTGATAGTAGTACAGTAGAAGTAGTAGTAGTAGTAGTAGTAGGAGCAATAGTAATAGTAGTAGTAATAGTAGTAGTGGTATTATTGATAATAGTAGTAGAAGTAGTTATAAACATTAATATTGTTTTTTTTTTCACGGGGATTAGCCCACCCAGGCTAGTATAGTAATATACAGTCGTCAGTGTACCTACTATACGTACAATGTCTTCACGCATACTAAAATTTATATTTAGATTATCAACTCACATCAATTTATAAACTAGTATGATGATGTTGATAGTTTTTACTGAATGTTTATCCGTGTATCTTTGTAAGTGTTTAAATATGGCGCTCAATGACGTCATGACGGGATGAGTCTCGCGGGGTCTCGTCAGTCCTCACACCGGCGGGTTCGAATAGTTGCCTAGTCTTCGTCAGTTGTCACAGGTAAGCCCAAATCCCCCCATTTATCACATATTTAACCATTATTTGAACCCCATAACTTATTTGAAAAGTATATAGGTGCCTTGAGATCATATAGGTCACTAGCGATAGGAATTAAGGTTTATTTGGTGTGTAAATGAGTGGATTGTGTCGTTATATCAAGGTTGGAATAGTTTGTTTTGGTCTGGTGTTTCTCCCGCGTAAACTTGTATTAAATCACATATAACCTTAACTAACTCCTTTTAAAGTTTCTCAGTGGTCTAATTAATGTGTATATATTTGTTTTTACTCATTAGCATTTGTAATTTTAATATAATTGATTAATATTTATACTAGTTATTCGTATTTTTGAGACATGACACATACCATTGACGAGCCTGGGGAGATTATTTAATTTGTTTTATTTTCTCGTTTAAAATATAATATCCTTATGCCTTTAGAGCATTGTTTCTTGTGTAATTTATAATGAGTTATCTGTGTATGTTCACTGTTGATTTTTTATAGGCTCTTGATTATATTACGAACTTAAATAATATATTCTTGGTATGCATTTCGTTATAGGACAAATCTTGCTATACGGTAGGTCCTGTTTTTATATGGCAGATCTTGTTTTTATTACAGGGTAGGTCTTATTCTAGGACAGGTAATTAATGTTCCCAAGGCTGACCCCTGTGACACTTCTCACCCTAAATTGTACTGTCAACCTGGCAGTGGTATTGATGAGTAAACACTGCTTCCTGCTTCCCCTAATGTTAGTTTTATGTAGCTTATAACTCAGGTTTTCAACGGAGTCAGCCATGTTAATATTGTTATTATTATATACTCTGTATCTGTATTTTCTGGCTAAATAAACTGTTTCAATATCAATACCTATATACAGTTACACTGTCAAATACTTTATTATGTCAAATACTTTACTAAGGTCTAGGTAAACTGCGTCAAATGACTTGTTGTTGTCATAATACTTATCATCCAATCTTAAGCAGGGTCTGCAAGATTTCACACCACGCTGGTGGTTTGATAGGAAGTTATTTGCCATACAGTTCTGTAATTAATTTATCAATGTTTCCCAAATTATGCTCACTAAGCTCTTCACCACCGAGTATGTTAATGATATACCATAGGTTTATAGTTGTTTTTTATCCTTGAATCAGTGGCTAAGGATTCTCCACTTTTTCCCTCTCTTATGAGCACGAAAATGGAATTCAGGGAACATAAAATTTGCATGAATTGAGACTGAATCAGTGCTTGATGTTGATGAATATACTGTATGCAAATATCTTTTACATTTTTCAGAGGTTAAATTTGGGGAGAGCTCCAGGCTACTTGTGTCAAAATGCCGCACAAAAGACGGTCTTCTGTGGGATTTGCTTTGTCCCCAACTAAGCGATCATCCATCCTGACTACCCCACACTCAGAAACTCCACTTGCAAAGAGACAGTCTCTGGCCGACATGTCATTAACGTCTGACAATGTTTTCTTGGATGTACCGGAAGTAAGTGACTAATGTGTTTAATGTGTGTAAATACAGGTGCTGTACAGTACTGTATATACTCCCAAGAATATCACCAATTGCACATCTTCTTAAGTAATGATGAAATATTACTTATAAACCTTATTTTTTCATTTTAATCTTTCACCAATATGAATTCGACAGTTGTATATTTAACACAATTATCCCCAGAGTTGAATGTAATACCGTACATTCTGAGATCTGGCAGTTGCCCTTTGTTATTTGTTAACGAGGGTTTCATATTTTTTTCACTGGGCTAGTTAGCTCTATATGCCACAGTTTCATTTACCCAATTTTTTCCACAGAATAATGATGAGCAAGAAAAGAAGGAACGTCAGTTAAATCGTCTACAGCAACAGAGACAATCACGGAACTTTTCCTCCCCGACTGTAAAACCCGCAGACAGTCGCAAGTCTGTCAATGCTGTAGCTGGACTCACAAACCAACAGCTCACAGAACATTATTCAAAGTGCATTCAACTTTCAACTGAAAATGTAAGTAGCTACTGCACACAAATGAGTAAAGCAGATCTTGTGAATTCATTTAGGAAACATCTTGAAATTTTTTTATTTTAGTCTTAGTCTACTGTATGTGAGATCCATATGGCAAATTCACCCACAGCAGAGCTTGCCTTTGGTGAAGAACCTTGACTTTTGTAATTATACTTATACGGGTATACAGTATATATACATATTTTTATTTTTATTTTTTCAGAAAATTAGCGTGAAGAATGCATTCAATCTACAACTTATCGACTACATGTCTGAGATGCTTCAAAGAAAGGATTCTGATATGAACAACTTCCAGGTTAGATATTCCTCAGGATAGAAGTATGTATTGAATTGGTGATGGAAGATTTACCTTGGCTGGGGCTGATCCAGGAATATCAAGGGGGAACATGGAGAGCACAGCAAGCCGACCCAGCTGGGGGTTTGGGAGGACACTGTAAGCCGCCTCAGAATTTTTTTTGAAATTTAAACAACACCATGGGCATTTTGAAGCTATGTGCACTTGATATTAGGAGATATTCTCAAGTCAAAAGTAACAACTTTTTACTATACAAAAATGCCTGAGTACAATACAGCATTCAAGAAAAGTATTTGAATTTTCTGATGAAAGGGGGGAGGGGGGGGTTGAACACCCCCCCGGATTGTCCCTGCTTGGCCAGTCAGTTAGGTCATTGTGCTCCTTTATAAGTAACCCAAGGCACAATACCCAGATACAGTATTGTAGACTCTCAGCAGTGATCTTAGAGGCTACACCCACTGTTCATCATTGTTCCCATTGAGTCACAGGGAGGTTGTTTTTGACTTGCACCTTCTTAGAGATTTATTGAAATTTATCAGTTTAATTATTTTTCTGAAAATGGTCATAAGGTCAATTTTGAATTATTTTCTGCATGAAATTTAATGTTTTTTACTGAAGTGGATCATTAGATTAATTATTGTGAATTATGGAATTAATCAGATTGATAAAGATTATTAAATGGTTGTTTCTTTTTACAAAAACTGACTTTTGTTTTATTAGTGTATGTTAAGGTAAAATTTCTTATAGTCGGCATTTGTACGTTTACTGTGAATACGGTACAGTACAGTAGAAGATATAAGGGTCACTATGGAGTACTGTACTGTACAACCTCAAGAATTTGGAAACATTTTGGACTACAATTTACACATTTGGCAAATCAAGTTTTTACATATTCTAACAGGTTTTATCCATTCATTGCTACTTTTTTCATGTAAAGGTTGCCAGCTGTACCTTAGATGCAAGCGCTAAGATTTACGCATACCGTGTGGACAGCATTCACACAGATACACTGAAGATAGCTGGTGGCTTAGGTCGTACTCAAGGTAAAGAGAAGAACAAGGAAAATGGTGAGGATGATCACATAGAAGGAGCAACTGTAGGAGATAAGAAGAGAAGAAAGGTAAATGTCGATTGTTTTGTATTTTTTTCGTTAATTTTTTAGTATTTAGACGGATCATGTGAAGATTGGGTGTAATTGACCACCCTAACATAATGTAACCTTGTGCTAATTCATATACACCTTAACCTTATGTAACGGACATAGCCTAAATTAACTTGGCACTAACCAAACTTAATCTAACCTAATGTAATACTGTACTATATAACCGAACTGAATCTAACCCCCTCTCCCCCCCCCCTGTAGCATTAGGGAATTTATGGTTAAAAGATGAAATAAGCTGTGGTGCCTAACCTTTTCATGATCCCATTTGTCATAGCGTGTGGTATATGCTGTACAGTATATTGGGAATATGTTGCTTTTGAGTTACAAGCTGAAGAGGTAAAGTTACTGAACTAAAGATGTGACTTGAATAGAAAATCTGAAATTTTTACTTTTGCAGGGTAGTAACTTGGGGCTTGGGGTTATAATTTTATCTTCATTATATAGTTTCCAAGGTTAGAAACAAGACTCAGTGCCTCACTGTTGGTACTAAAACATGTACAGAACAGTATTACAGTACTGTACCTCTCTATATCAAAATAAATGGTGGGCATCCAGTGTGATATAGAGAGGTAATACTGTATTGTACTATATTATGAAAACGTGGATATGAATATCATTGTATTTTGTAAGGTTTTTGTCAATCAATGTTTCTTTTTTGATAAGTAAACTTTTGATAAAAATGGCATTAAATTCTTGAAGATGTGTATGAATTGGCAGGACCCATCATATCTACACTGGCTCCTAAAAGTATCTTTACTGCTTTGTGTGTGACAATATGACACAACAGATGAAGGATTTTGGCAACTCTACCGAGACAACAGTTGTCGCAGCGTTCATTTTAAAATTCATTGGACCCTCCCTAAAGATACTTTTTGGGGCAAGTGCACTTGGGATTCCACTCTGAACAGTCTCTCATTTTTATAATAGATAAATTATTGGTGTGTGGAAAGATAAACAGAAGAAATCAGGTTGTGTTGTCTTATCCCAGGTGAAAAGGAAAGTCATAGAAACAAATTTAAAGAACATCAACATTACCAACTTTGATCTGGAGTTTGACGTTGATCCCTTGTTTAAGAAGACCGCCTCACAGTTTGATGATGGGTGTTCTGGCAGTGGGATCTTCCTTAATTGTCTTCAGTTACAGGTAAGTGTTTATGTGATCTACCAAAACTGTCAATTTTTTTTTTCTCTCAGTTTAATCAGTCATTTCATGATGTATACTGTAATATAACTGTCATTATTTACAGACACATTAATAACCCACAGCCACTAATATTATATAAATTGTTCTTGATTTATTCTTTCCTTTCACATATGTATATTAAGTTTTTATAACAATATCTTCCTCACAGGATGATTCGTGTGCCTTGATGCTGGACGCTGAGACAGTCATCAACAACTTCAGGGAAGAGACAACACCCGCTAAGACAGAAAAGGTACTCGTACCCAAACCTGAAGGTGAGAATCGCCACTTGTCTGACATGAATAAAAGTATTGCTATCAAGATATTGGGGAAAGTAGAGAGTAATAATTCTTTATGAGTAATAGTTACTTAGGATTATTATTATTTATTTATTTTATTAATTGTACGTTTTTTTTTTTTTTTTTTCACTTTAATGAGTACAGTGGTGGTGAGATTACCATACTGGGCTGGCTGTTAACTTAAATATTTACTGTTTTGTCTATTCTGGCCACTATACTGTAGTGCCTACATGTTAAAGGTTATTTTAAGGTGCTACTGAAGTCTCAATGAAGCTAATCTCTCTCAATTTAAATTTTACAAGTGAACCAGGTACAGTATTACTAGTCTGAGGCAGTCATCATTCTCTCGTTACTCTGGTCCTCTCATATGTTGTTACCTAATACGTATATACAATGATGTGAGTTTAGATTTAACAAATGTTTTTTAATATATTTGTAACAGGAATACTGTATATCTATTTGCAACCCCACTTATCCGCAATTGATATTTTGACTCCCCTATTTGATATTCGCAAAGCATACCTTGCTTATTCTCCTTGAAAAATTACGATACGTGTTTTCTTTTCATACGTGAGGACCTGCGGGGTTTAGAAATTAATAAAGTTCAGTGGGACCGTTCACACGGAGCATGAGCGGGAGACGCTCACCTCACACCTGTACCTGTACTTGCAAACTGCAGCGTGAAAAACACACTGAGCATGTAGAATTCTTCTAATGGCAATGGTAAATGCTAGTCTAAATGTTTACACTCATTTACAAATGCTGTACACACACACATGCACACTCACTTGCACAGTGTTCTTTTGTTCTGTTTTTATGCTATTTTAGTTATTTAATTGCATTATATGGAGTGTATTTGTATATTTAAAAATATATTGCTCTTAATTAAGAAATATGAAAAGCATGGGGGTGTGAAGTGAACTTATGTATGGACTTGGCATATCGCCAAGTTAGACTGTCCCTTTAGCTATATCCCTCAACCAGACTAAGCTGTGTTAGGTTTGTATTTTTCATATTTTTGGGTAGATATGTGTATTTTTATTCAATTTTTTACTCTTAAATGCACACACAATCATTCGTACAGAATGTGTAACAACAATAAAAGAAAAGAAATAATTAGCCCAAGTTCAAAAACATAAAGTGAATAAATATTTCCTTTGTCCATGGAAATTAGTGCATAGAAGGGGGGGTGTGGCATCAGGATCTCAGCCTCCCCCCTACCTGGCTAAGCTGTTACTTTCCAACTTGTATTTTTGGGTAGATACTGTATACTAGTATAAAAAAAAATCTATTTTTTTTGCATGCACACAATTGTTCATTAAGATTGTGCAAAAAAATACAGTTAAAGAAATGATTATCATCAGGTCAGAAACAGAGGGAATAAACATTTCTTTCGTGCACAGTACAGTAGTTAATGCGTGGATTGTGGGAGATGGAGGAGGGAGCAGTGTTGGGGAACTCGGCCACTCCAGTCTCCCATGTCTTGCGTATAGTGAAACTAGTATGTATTGCCAACTGGTAATGCGGTATTTTTTAATTGTTTTAGTATAATTATTATTTATTCTTCACATTTACTGGTCCAGGTACTGTACTACAATATACATGCAACCCTGGTCTCTATTGGCCTTGGATAATGAGTGTACATGTGCTGTACTGTATATCAAAAAATATGTGGTGAAAGATGTCGGCTGGGAACGCATCCCCTCTATTTACATTAATTCTTATAGGGAAAATTTTCCTGATATTTGCAATGAATTTTAGGATTGTATTCTTTGCAATAACTGGGGTATTCCTGTACTTTTTTATTTTGCGTGATAAGGAAAATTTGTGTGAAAGTGTGATAAAGTTATTCACACACACCTACCGTACAGTATTCTCAATAGTTACTTTAATCCTTTTTCACAGATTTAACCAAAAAGTTGATATGTCCAACCTTTGCACCATTTGAGTTTACAAGTTGGAAGTTAGGTGACGAGGATTCCTTCTGTGACACCTCTAAAGTGATGGGCGACATGGATGACAACCACAGATTTGATGTTAATGCTATACCTGCGCCAATCGACGAAAATGATGATTTTATTGATGATGGTAAGTATATTTAGATGATATCAAAAGTTAATTCAATGAAATAGGTTTTGTGTTAAATAGTAATCCTTAACCAGTATTCAACAGCTAAGGATTCATCCTCCCTCCGTATGTGCAAAAAATGGAATGCAAGGAACATGAAACGTCCACTGATGATGGCTGTTGTCCTTCCAGCTAACTTCAACAGATGATAGCTGCTGTTTAAGGATTAATACATGTAATTTTTCTGGGGACTTGGGATTTAGATACAGTGCTGTATTTAGGTTTTTAATCTGTTGTAGAACCTTGTAAAATATTTAACCAAGAGTACAGTATTAGGAGATTGCTACTTTTGACTAAAAATCCGTCGGGCACCATTTTAGTGTTCTGATGTACAGTAAAATGTCGTTAGCTGGGTTCGTGGGTGGCAGTATGGACTTGTATTTCAGAAAATGGGTGTGGTGACAGTTGGGTACACAACTCCTCTCCTGTCCCAAGGGTCATTAGTTCACCCCCAGTCACCCAGGTGTAAAAGGGCACCAGAGTACAGTTTGGGAAGGGATGTCAGTCAAGAGCACTCTTTGCTTTGAGGGAAAAAAAATCCTTGTTAAGCTGAATGTAAATGTTGTGGCTGTTTGTGGTGATGGATCTGCTAAAAAATTCTGTTTGGATTTATGGCAGAGATCTACAGATACAGTATATTCTCAATTTAACGAACTAATTCGAGCCACCCTTGTTCGTTAAATAAGAATTTCCGCTAAATTGAGCTCTCAGTCAACTAAGTATACACTGGAGCACCATAGGCAACTGAATTTACAGGGATGGATTGTCAGGCCACCCTTTCTTTGGTGGAGGATTAGTGGGTCTCATGACCTGAAGATGTCTTGAATAAAGACAAAAGCTAAATTATTTTAGGGGAGACATGACTTGACCTGATGCAATGTGGTCGCATATGACTGACCTGATGGAATGTCAGGTCACCCTTTCTTGGGTGGAGGACTAGTGGGTCTCATGACCTGAAGATATCTTGAATAAATACGAGTGTAAAAAGCAGAAAGGTGTGGGTGATTAGAGAGATGTGTGTTGTCTTAAATCCTGTGTGTGTGTCAGGAACACACGTCAACATAATATAGTTTGCGCTAGACATAAAAATTTTAGTAATTAACTTAGTATAATTGAGTACTACAGGTTGTGATAATTTATGTGTTGTGGTTGCAGTTGCAAAGCTTCATGACATCACTAGTGTATATACTGTAATGTGTCTCAACATTCCCTGATTTATTCACTGATCAGTTGTCTAAGTGCAAAAGTAGCTAAATCAAGCCATCGTGTATCATTTTTAAAACAAAAATTATAAAGTCAAATGTTAATAGACAATAGTTTAGTAGTGCTGTTAATGTGTGTGCTGTGTAAGTGTCTTGGCATGTCACCTCTCTCTTACCATCCACACACCAACCATGTGAGGATGAGGCTAAACATGGTGCAATCTTTCAAAATGCCGGGAACCTTTGTCCCCGGCCCGGAGCAGAAAGGTTTGGAGTGATTTTTTCAGATATTCTGGTAATTGCTTTATATCATTTATTGTTTTTATACATCTAGTATATTCACCGTAGGCTGAAGTGGGTTTTACTGTATCGTGTGTGAGCGTATTAACGGAATTAATCTCAATTTAGCGAACTGGTTCACTAAATCGAGCGAAATATAACGAAAAAATGCCTTCCGCTAAATCGAGAGTACAGTATACTGTATCATTACAGTAGAATGTCGATTTAAAGCGATTCAATTTAAGATTATTGATTTAGAGCGACACCCACAATTAACGACAAAATTTTAATTTAAAGCGAATCTCATATTTTGCGCGAGTCAACCTGGCGCATCATATTTAAAATTTTGTGCTTAATGTTTCTCTGGGCACGCTACACTGTCCTAAGGGCAAAGCTGTACTGTACATGTACTCAAAATAATGTACTAAATGATTACTAAAATTTTTGTTCAGTACAAACTATAGCATGATTATATTCCAATTAATCACTATCTTATAAGAATTCCAGCAGTGTAAATTATATTCTCCCTGGTCACTTCTGTGACATTTTATAAGCAAAAAACATAAACTCAAGCTAAAGGACATAAATAAACAAATAAATACTTCACTAGACCTTCCACGCCAACTGTCAAACTGTCAAACGTGTCCCTCCCTCCCCCATCTTCCCAGTCAGGGTTTGGTGTTTTAGGCTTAAAGTTTTTATCTTATATAATGTCATAGACTAAGGTTAGGAGAATATAATGTGTATTGCACGAATCCTTGCAAGACAGCGAATAATTTGAATATAAATGTCATATAAAATTTTTTTGCTCTCTCTAATAAAATTCTTAAATTAGAACTAAAATTTGTATATCTAATGCGAGCTATAGCATGTTTATATTCAAATTAATCACTATCTTATAAGAATTCCAGCAAAGTTAATTATATTCTCTCATGTCAGTTCAGTGACATTTTATAAGAGAAAAACTTAGTCACTCTTAAGGACAGAAAAATAAATAAGCACTAGACCTTGGCATAAACTGTCAAACATATCACCTCCCCCCCCCCGCCCCCCCCATACCATTTCACATCCCTTAATTTTAGCTGTGTTGATTTATGAGTGTTTGTTTTAACATAATACTACAAAAAACAATGTTTTGTTTATTCTAGGAAATGGGCTGAGGAGCATCTGGGTAGACTCTCAGTCTTTTTAGTATTTTGTTTCTCTCAAGTACCAAACTAAATTATTCCATTGAAACAACACTTCGATTTAGTGCGAATTCGGTTTAAAGCGACCTGTCTTGGAACGTATCTCGTGTTATATCGACGTTCTACTGTATTTTGTTTAACTAGAGTATTTTATGAATTTAGCTTTATTTTGATCAGAATTAAAGAATGAATGATAATAAGGTGTTCATTTCTTCATTACATTCAGCTTCAGGTTTTTGTGTTAGTCTGAACTGCCAGGGTGTGTCTACTGCTTGAACTGATGTACCTGTGGTTGATGTGCTACTCACTAACAGGACTCCAACAGCATTAAGTTTAACTCAGCATGTTTATGAATAATTATCAAATTATTTGTTGCTTTAGGTGAAGTTGAAATTGAATAATAATAATTCTTGGTAACTACTGTATTATAGTAGATATTAATAACTATCATTGCTGCTTTATGTACAACAGATCACTTTGGAGGTGATGAGTGCCCTGAGGATGGCACTGTGATGACTATTGGACAAGAAGGGTGCCAGAAAATGCCTCAACAAGTCATGGAAGCTGTGCACCTGAAGGATCACTTAGCGCTGAACCCGTCAGAGTACTCTTACTTTGACAACCGCTTGTTGTCTGCTTGGGCTGGACCTCGACACTGGAGGATGCAGCCATTATCAAAAGGTTTGTACAGTACAGGGGGCCCCAAATTTCGTGGATTTTTACTTTGCGGTTCTCGGTTATTCGCGGATGACACCCTGGATGTACCCAAGAATGTTTGTGGGTAGTTTTAAAGTTGCCGGCCTTTTTGCGGCTGGGACAGGGAGCCATTCATTCTAGACAGTAATTTCCTTTACCTGTATTGTAAATATATGTGTGTGTGTGTGTGTAGACACACACACACACACAAAACATACAAATAAATACTCTAACAAATAATCCAAAACAAATTTATTAAAAATGTGAGTCTACCCTCAGGTCCGTTCTCTATTACAGTAATTTATAAATAGAGCACGGACTTGAGGGTAGACTGTGTCACGTTTTTAATAAATTTGTTTCTTATTTTTTGTGAGAAGATTTTCCAATTATTATTTATTTGCAGTATGTGTTTTGTGTGTGTGTGTATGTGTCTACACACACACACACATACAATACTATAGGTAAAAAAAATAATTGTCCTATGGGAAAACAAATAAAGGGAATATACACTTCTTTGTACACAAGTAAAAATGTACCCCCCTTTTGCAAATTTTATTCACAGATTTGGCAATCATGGCCATTTTGAGAACCTAAACCCCACAAATTTGGGGGGCCCCTGTTTTTATAATTTGCTGTTAGTTTTTGTTTTAGTAATTTTTCAAATCCATAAGCATTCTTGGACTTTTTTGCGTTGTTCAAGATACTGGATTTTAGTTTTAAAAGACTGAGTATGGAGGAAGATCTTTAAATATCTAATTATTTCATGCATCCTGGTCTCTCCTTACAGTGATTCAGGGTGCCTGGGGTCATTCTTAGTACTGTAGTTGTCATATAGTGATTTACCTCACCTCATTAGCAGGATCATTGTCTTGTTCCACCATGAGCAAATGTACCCTATAGAGTACAGATACTCACTTCTTGCTTGGTGTACAAAGAAGAAATCCAATCTTTTTCTTTAATTGGAAATCAAATCTGTGACTGGCATGGACTGAGTTTCCTCCTTGTGCACTCTGCATTAAGTGAGTACACTATTGGGCCTGCTTGTCGGTGGTGTGAGAACCTCGCAATGAGTAAGAATCCTATCCAAGTCACCATCCCATGAGCTTGGCTTCTCAACCAAAAACCCTGGATGGTGACTGACAAGTTTGAGGAGATGCTGTTTTTGTTAGGAGGGAGGGAGAGACTTGGTACTTGGAGGTAATATTTATTTATGGAGTGTCAAGATCCGGATGTATGCCTGAAGAAGGACTGCGACCAACAGCAGTGGAGTTGAGTTGTGTATGAAATTGGAAATCCTCATACTGTTAGGGGTTTCAAGCGCACAATTTTGAGGAAATCAAGAAATATTGGGAAGTGGTGATTTTCTTTCTGATTATGAGCACTTGGTAATTTTTTTTATTTTTATTTTTTTTAATAAAGCTGGGTGCAACTATTGTTTTGTTATTCTTTTGTAACACATAAATACCCGCCTCCCACTATACCAAATGTGTGGGTACAGCTGTGATGTCTGTCTATCTATCTGGGACAAACTAGGTTTCTGCTTGATAAATTTCAGTAAACTCTCGATATATTTCAGGATTGATGTAAAACTGTACAGTATCATGATAATTTCTTGCTTAGGAGTGATGGGATGTGTTATTAACCTAAGTAATTTTAGTTAACCCTTTTCATGTAGACAGTGAAAGGGTATTACTCACTATTTTGGTTTATTGTATGAAAACTAATCTCACAATCATATTTTATCTTTTTTTGCCAACAGTAAAAGCCATGAACAGTGACAAAGCAGATGCTAATAAACGGAAGAAAAAGGAATTTATCTCTTTACTATACGACAAAGAGGATGAGGACCCAGACATAGCCAAGGCTTTTGCTGTGACCCGCAAAGCAACGAAACTCTCACAGATTACTCTAAAAATCTGGAGCAAAGAGAAGTCTACGCTGCCCGTTGACTTACATTACAAAGCAAGAAATTTTACAAAGTTGGTTTATATTTTTTATATAATTACTTCTATTATGTAAAGTACAGTACAGCAACTTTATTTATTTTTACTTTTTTGCCAAATTGCTTATATTTCCCCGAGATACTGTACTTCTATTTTGTCAAGTAACTTTTATATTTGGCCATGTTAATTATACTGTATTGTCAAGATATATTTTTTCCAAGGTACTGTTGTTTTATCCTGTAATTTTTTTATCCAAGTAACTTCTACAGTAAAGTCTTTGTAACAGCTTAATCAGACCTGAGAATACATAAATGCTATAAAAATTTTCAATTTTCTTTGTTTGCTCATACAGATGTCAAACAGGACATGACAATAATATTTTATGGTTCCAACTGGTGATTGGTAAAAATTTTCCACATTTATTAATGCTTATCGACCAATTTTTTACACTGAGTTGTATTTTTAGATTGTTTGGGCGTCCGTTGATCGTCATACAGAGGCAGAAAAAAGCGGCGGCTGTCGACGATAGCATACACGAATATGACTACGACAACCAGAATGACCGAGATAATTACTGTACTGATGTGGTAAGGTTTTTTTTTTTTTTTTAGTCAGTTGGAATGTTGCCAAAGAAGGTAACAACCATTCTATAAGACAAGAAAAATTTAAAAAATCTGTAAGACGGTGCTCGTGCTGGTAAGGCAAATAACCTCACTAGCTAACAGAGTCATTAATAATTTGTATCTGTCCTTGTTTAAGACTGCTAATTAATGTTTGCTGTATTGTGTGTATCACTAAAATTAGCCTTCCTCTGCTGAACCTTGATAAGTTAATACTGTACTAATGATAATACCGTACCTTACCAGTAAAAATAATCTATTACTGTAATAAGACTTGAATGAATATCACGCCGTCTGTTTCTTCTTATTGTGGATATACAGAACTATTTAAAATCCCAAATCTAAGCTAACCTAACCTACCCTCTCCTCTCCAGGTAATGTTAGGGTGTTTAATCATGAGGTGAAATAAGCAGTGGTGCCTAATCTTCAAGTGATCCATTTCATGTGTAGTACAGTACCTGTAGTTAGCGATCTCTTCAAACATAACATGCATATGCTCGTCTTTCAGGATGATGGGGAGAATTTAGGAGGCGGCTACGACATTACGGAGAACTTCAGCCAGACAATCATCGGTTCACAGCCCTTAACTGGAGAGGAAGCAAGTAATAAAACATCTGACTTCTTAGAGAATATGGTCGCTGCTCCAAACAAGGTGAGATGTGCATGAAGACTAGTGTGGGTGTATGTACAGTATATGTGTGTGTATGTCTGCATGTTATGTGTGTGTGTATGTGGGGGGAGTGATAAGATGGAATTTGTGCCTCTGTAAGATAGGTGTTGCAGGAGGAAGCTGGAAATTAGTCACCATCGCAACATATTGGGACTATATCGTTTTAGCCATCCAGACTATATAACACAAGACTTATAGAAGAACATGTTGCAAGGTGGATATGGAGTTGTTGTACAGGGTGAATCATAAATCACCTGACGGAATCATTGTACAGGGTGTCTCATGAACCACCCGCCACAAGGAAAATACATTACTATAGTACATACACCTTCAAGGATTTCAATATCTACATCAAAACACACGTTGATTCTATGTGAACGCGATGCCTTAGCTCCCCTTAATGTGTCTGGTAATCTTTCAACTGTCGTGTGATCAATGTTCTTGCCTGTGTGTTGTTGATTAACTTCTTTTACTGAACTACTGATCAGTGTGTGACCTCTTGCTCTCCATACATGAATATTAAACTGAGTCTTTCCTCTTAGTGTTAATTTCTCTGTTATAGTCATTGATTCGTTATGATTCACTCTCCTCAAAAGGGGGAAAAAAAATTAATTGCCCTATGATATATGACCAAGGATAAAAGGAGTAACATTATTTTTATCCTATTTTTCAGGTAGCAAAACTGAACATCGGTTATGCTCGCACAGCCAAGAAGGTGGACATGAAGAAATTGAAGGGAACCATGTGGAGTTTGCTGTCAGATCCAACTACCAATAAAGAAAATGAGAACCAGTATGTCTATCTTTTTAAGTCAAAATTTTTTTTAGTTAACCTATTAAAAATAATATTAATTTGTTTAAAGTTATATTGTGTGTTAAAGATGTGGGTGAGTACAAAGATTGATATTATTTAGTCTAAAAAAAATTAATTCTGGTCAGATAATAAATTAAATCTCCAAGTAGAAACTTGGTTAAATTCAATACAGTAGTAATAAAACTCAGTATTTACCAATTACAATTTCCAAATTAAAAGATCTCCCACCAATCACATTTCAGGACGCAATCATTCTGCCAAATTCTAAAATAGATATGCTAGGCCTCACCAATTCCTCTAACATGTCATGGAAGCCACACAACCACAACACTGCTAAAGTTGGTAATGCTGTACAGATGCTGTAGCTACTTCACTCCTGAGCAGTTGCTTCAAGTATACCTACAGTATAAGGGATTCATTCGTCCTAACTTGGAGTACTGCTCTCATATCTGGGGTGGCTCTTCTTCTGCCCAACTGTTAGATAGGGTGGAATCAAAGGCATTTCATTTTATTGACTCTCCCCTTTGAGTTGATAATAATCTTTCTTCCCTTTATCTTTTCCGCAATGTTGCTTCTCTCTCTCTCTTTTACCAATACTTTAACGGGCAATGTCCGGTAGATTTGGCATTCTGTGTACCGCCGTGGGCTCGTTACACTCTTTACCCGCTGTGTCCACTGTTTCTCTGTGGATGTCGGTCATACCAGAATAACCCGTTATAGTACCTCCTTCCTCACACAGCCAAACTGTGGAATGCTCTGTCTTCCTATCTGTTTCCATACTCATATGATCTGTCTCACTTCAAAGAGCTAGTTTTCAGCATCTTCGTTGTGTAGAATAATATAATCTTTTTCTTTTCTATATTTAATTTCTTTTTCACTCATCCCCCCCCCCCAGGCCCCGTGGGTCGATGACCTGTGCCCGGGTGGGTTATTCCCCGTTAAAAAATAAATAAATAAAATAATAAATAAAAAAAATCATCGTACAGGTTGTTCACATCTATGCCAGTAGTACAAGTGCTGCTTTGCATGTACGGAAAATACTTTTTACTTCTCAAATTCAAATAATTTCAGGAATAAGGTTTGCACAGGCAGATATGTACAGTACTCTATATTGTGTTTAATTTTTTGTGTGTATATGTAATGCCTCGGAGGCATCTGGAGTACCTGTATTGTTCAGATCTCCTAACTGTACTGTTTTGTCCAACATTTTTACAATTTGAAGTGTTACAGGGACCAAATAAACATGCAACAGTTTGATTACAGTGCATTCATAACATACTAGACCACAAATAAAGGAGGATCACAAAACTATTTAAAGGGGGATTTAAGTTGTGGCTAAGAATGTATCTTCCCTTTTTACTTTTGGAAACTCGTTTTGTTTTACATCAGACACTCCAATAGCACAGCGTTTACGAGATGGGCTGCACAAACTTGTCATCCCATAAGTGTGTAGACCATGAAACTTATTTATACCAGTGTATCCATGATGTGTTTAATCTTTACTGATGCAGTAGATAGAGAATGTCAACATCACTGTAACATTAGTTTGGTGACTGGACAAGTAACATTTATTGAGTGAGGATAATCTGGATCATATCTAATATTAATTCTGAGCCATAAAATAATGAAATGTACAGTACTTTTAAAGGTAAACTAAAATTTCATGATTCTTGCAGGAATGAGAACCAGGCTGAAATGGACCCCAATCAAATTGTCAGCTTCTCTTTATTATACAAGAAACTAACTCCCAGATTGTCATCCAAGATGCAAGAAAACATCTCTATTCCACTTGCATTTAGCGCTCTCCTCCATTTAGCCAACGAGCATAATTTGGAGCTTTATGGTTCAGGAAGTTTGGAGGATTTTTCAGTCAAACAAGGATAATAATTGCTTTAGTGCCTATTAGGGTAATTCACCCATGTAGGGGATATATAACATTCAGAAAAACCCGCACCTCAAGGCCGCCCCTGTTGCTATGTTTAATAGGCTCATGGTGTCCCCCCAAAAAAGGAACACATTTAAAGGACACAAAAATGGACTCCTTTGATTATATTTATTTATTTTATGAACACAAAGTTGGCTCTGTGTGACCTCTAAATTTTATCCAATTGGGTTCAAAATGTTACTATAAACTCGTACCTTTAATAGGAACAGGGGCGGCCTTATGGAGAAGATAGAATCCCAACCTTCGATGGTTTAGACCACCCCAGTGCCTGTGCGATCATGTCACATCTGGCCTCTTTATCTCTTGTACCTGATGTTGCTACTGTTGAGTGTATAAGTGGGGTCATAACATGGCTATTTATTACAAACATTTTTAATGTAGAATGAACTAAAAGTTATTGGAGCAAATATATAGTAATGTTATAAAGTGTCTCTTCATATTCTTTGTACAGTATATGTGTTATAAGTCCTTGTTTAAGGCAGCCTTCAGTTTGTGGGTGGATAATTGTGTTCTTTGGGGCAAAATTGCAAATATAAATTTCATGAATATTGTGTAGCGTTAGAATGGAGTTTTATGTGGAATGTAACATAAGAGAAATATTTAAATTTGATTTAAACTGAAAATTAAAAAATTAAATTGATTAACGAATAGGTTTCCCCCAAGATATAATTTTGGTTTGTGACTGATGTCTTTTTGTGGTTCCACACTGTCATCCAAGTGTGTTTGCTTACACAGAACAGAGAAGAATAAGGTAGGATTCATTTCCACAACTGGCTATATGGGAGCAAAGGAAACAAGATGAGAGGAATTCCTTTGATAAACTCATTTGTGATGAAATATGGAGAGTACAGTTGTGTTACTGACCCGGTGTTTCTTTTGCCACTGTATCATATAACCATTTGATAAGATCTTCGGCATTACTCTCAGATGTACATAAAAATATTTGATAAATACACTAAGATTTCTGGCTTATGATGATTATGAATGCAGTTTGTATTTTTCTTACAAATTTTGAATGCTATTAATAAAGTTTCATACCTTTATTATACAATATTGTATACCAGTCTTCTAAATTGTAACCTTTATTTAGTATTGTGATACAGTATATGCTTATTCTGATTAAGTTTGTGTGAGAATAATGCTCTAAGTTTATAAAGTGTGTGAGTGTGTACAGAGAAATATTACAATAAGATGATGTAGACAGAGGTTTGAATTAACCATTATTATGAGATGTATTATGTGACCTTCTCAACAGGTACTTTGTTGGTGTTCTGTCTCTCACGTGTTCTTAATAATTTGAATTAATGAAAATTATTGGATCTTGAAGATTAGGAACTCCTGATGATTAAACACTATAATGCTTACCTGATGTTCAATCGGGTGAAATATGCAGGGAGTTTCTCATCTTCATTACATCCCAATTATTTATCAATTCTAGAGGACATCTTCAAATTATCTGCAGGGACAAAAAGGTGAAATTTGCAATATATTAATAGTAAGCTTTTGCAACAGTGAAAGGGAAGGTTTAAACAATGATTCATTAGTGTAATGTAAATAATATTTGATCAAGCTATCTTTAATCTAAAAATTCATCTCCTGTAGTACTCCTTAACCATATCTATTTTATATTTTAATACAGAAAGTGTAAAAAAAAAAGTCTGCTTATCTGGGTCATATACTGTTTCTTGAAGTTTCAGTTCATGTTGTGTTAAAAAATTACTGTACTTGTCGTATGTGCACACTTTCCAGTGGTACACGCCCTTACACTAGGGAGATACAGTATGCTGTTAATTAATTTAACTTTATTAAGTGATTGTTGTATTAGAAACAAAATTCAGGATAGACATAAATCAGAGAGGAGGGTGGAAAAAAATGGAAAAAGAAAGTGGCAATAGAAATAAGTAATGATATTTTGTGAGTGACATTCTTTTAAAATGTTGCCACAGTGTAACTGTGATGGTGTACTGGGATGAAGAGGGAAGTCTCTGGTACAGCTGTAGTGATAATTGGAGGTCTCTAGATAAGTTTGTCTGTTCAGTTTGACTTATGTCATTTAAGCACCAGAAGCATTATGGGATGTGGGTTTGATTGTTCATTAACACTAAGTTGTTCCCCATAATCTAGACACAAATTATGGCTTCACTCTCAACTTGAGACTTTCGTGACCATCCTGTTTCACCTGCCATTATGCTCTGAATGCAGGAAATTTTATACATGATATAGGGTTATTAAGTATGTCATAGCTAGTTACACTAACTACAGGGGTATTCACATTAATGTACATAGAGGGCATTCTTGTTTTGGTGATGGACTAAGTAGTTCATCCTGCTTTGTTTTGTGGCCAAACTGAACAAAATAGGATAGAGAAGCAGATGGTGTGGTAGCAAGCATTCCACCTTCTTTGCTAAGTGGAAAACTGAAATACCAAGTCTCCCCTCTCAAGGAATGGTTAGGAAAGTTAATATGATTTTTTGGAGTTATTGTTAAATTTTAAGATTCCCTCGAGTTTGAAGTTCCTGGAATCAGGTTTTCACTCCATGAGCTTGTTGACTATATATTAACACGAGACGAGATAATTTGTGCGTAATGAGTCATAGCAAGTTTGCTATTTGAGATAAGGTGGGATTAGTTGTATTAGCATTGTAAATAAATTATCTACGAACAGTTTTATATAAGTAATCACGATAAAATAATTATTTCTATATATAAGTGCAAGTAGAACAAAATATTTGTTTACTCTTAATGGAAATGTTTATACATTACTTTGTGCCTTTGTTATTTCATGTGATTGCAATATGAACCTCATTAAGTTGTAAAGAGTACATATTTATGAAAAAATAGTTATGGAAGAAAAGTTGTGAAAAATCAATATTTCGCTAGGTAATAGTAATGTATATTTTGTGTTCTGACTAGCATGCCTAGGCAAGATACAAATTATTCAAAGTACTATGACTAATTGTTGAAGGGCCAGACAAACTATCACTTATGCTAGAAGGGACACGGAGAGGCATCAGGTGGCACCACACTATCACCATGTGGTGCACTCTCCTTGCACTTTTTACATTTTCCACCTCTCCACCTTCGCCAGTAACACGAGGCATGGTTCAGAACTCTGACAACACTGATATGAATAAATGAAATCACTGTGATGCACGAGAAATCACCACAAGCCATAAGTAAATGCGTGGGAAATGTGGGTCAACGTTAAATCCTGGGTCCTTTAAACACAAAAGGGAGATTGGTGTGGTAACCTTGGAGTGCAATCTACAGAGTTGCCAGATCACGCTGTCATTGACAAGTGTCTGTGTGTAACGTTCATATGCAAAAAAAAAAATTCATCTGCAAATTTGCATATGAAAACCCTAAAGCGAAAATTTAGATTGCGTATGAAAACCCCAAGACTGTTACTTTCTTGCTCACTTTATTTATTTTTTATTATTATTATTAGTAAACAGGATTTTAGTATTAATCATTTCTCTATGTTGCAGCTCGTAATGTTAGGACTTTATGAGCAGTTTGGATCTCTGTAATTAATCCTTTATAAGATACTTTTAGAGGAATGGGTGATTGTAAATTATCTTTAGTTGGAATCGATCTCTAACCCACTGTCTAATTTAACCTTTATATTTACACCTTCCTCACGATAAAAGAAAAATGCTTCTTCAAAAGCTACTCTAAAATTTTTACTTTACTAAAGTGAGGCCCCAAAACCTGTTAGCTAAGACATACTATTTCAAAGCTATTAACTTGAACATTGGCCTTTGAGCTCCAGAACATAGCAGCTTTAGTGGTCTTCATGATAAACAAGATATACTTAGTATGAATAAACTAGTCCTGTTCTTCAGTAATGGTGCAGATGTAGACAAGAGTTAAACAGATGCTCCTGTTGGTGTGAGTATTGATTAGTTTACACCTCCACCTTTCTTAACCTTTTTCTAACAGTTGTACCTGATTCTTTACCACGCTGGTGTTGTACTGTAATTGTAACATCTTGTGCTACTTGAAAATATTGTGTTGTATGTTATCAATTTCTTATTAAATCTTAATAAATGTCCCACGTGATCAAATTCTTAATCACACACTGTCCTTGATTTTGTATCTTGATTCAGTTTTAGTTCAGTAATATGTGTCCTGCTCAAAAGATTAATCTTACACTTTCAGAATTTACCGTGTTCCTGTCAGTACAACTGAATATTTCCCAAGTATAATACTGTTTAAGCTACAAGCTAAACTACATACTGTATCTACTGATATTTGCCCTATAATATATTTAAGCTTAGTTTATACTGTACAGTATATACATATATGTGTAATGCATAAAAAAGACTTGAAATTGAAGGAATGTATGTGTGTGTACAATATATCTAAAATTTATTTTGTAATATATTTTCAAGACTTAGTTATATCAAGATTAAATTTTTTTGCTTTAGAAAATTTAGTGTTCATTATCCATAACATTGGGTGCAACAGCTGAGTAGTTATAGCACTCCCTTCCTGTCTTACGGATTTCTTGTTTGGTCCCAGGGTACTCCAAGATCCATAAATGGGCACCTAACTTTGCAATTAGGAAAGTGAAAACAGTTGATTGCAGTGCTGGCCATGCTGCCTCCTGCTACAGTGTGTTGCGATTTAGTTTACAGTGTGTTGTAATCACATCGTTTTTAATTTGCTGTCATGCTTATGGGGCTGACTATCCCTGTCATGATATATGGGTGATATATGTTGATATATGCTCTCTGGCAGGTTGTTCCAAGAGTTCACAATTCTCACTCTGAAAATGTTTGCCCTCACAGTTTTCTGGACTTGTGGCTTCTTCAACCTTGAGTACTGCCCCCTGAGATATTTATGCACCTTGATTAGGTCGCCCCTTGCCCGTCTGTAGTATAAGCTAGGCAAGTTCAGGCGCTCCAATCTCTCAGGGTAGTTGAGGTGACAAAGTGCAGGCACCAGTCTGGTGGCCCTCCTTTGAACATTTTCAACCAACTGACAGTCCCTAGCATATCTTGGGGACCAGACAGGGTGACAGTACTCCAGATGGGGAAGCACTTCACTCCTGAAGATCGTTACGAGGGACGGACCGTCTAGATATCTGAACGACCTTCTTATAAGACCCAACAATTTATTTGCTTGATTTACCTTCTCGCAATGGCCCCAGAACTTCAGTTCATTGTCAACATACACACCTTGGTCCTTTTCACATTCAGTCTCAATTAATGCAGTTTCTACTTCCGTTGGGACGATACGCCTCCTTACCAATGGTACTTCTCAAGTGCATCCTCTTACACTTAGTGACATTGAATTTTAGCTGCCATTTCTTCGACCATTTTTGAAGCTCACAGAGATCTTTCTGCAGCTCTTCACAGTCCGCTTGGTTCTTGATTTTCCGAAATAACTTGGCGCCATCGGCAAACATTTGTATGGAGGAGTGTACAACGTCAGGCATGTCAATTATGAAACAAAAACAACAACGGGCCCAATACATTACCCTGTGGTACCCCTCTTGTGACAGGTACAGATGATGATTTCGTGCCATTAATCACCACACACTGCTTGCGATCATGTAGAAAGTCTTCTATTCACGCTAGGACATTTCCCGAATTCCATACCCTTCAAGTTTGATTTTCATCCTTTCGTGGGGTATACTGTCGAAAGTA